AGCCTGAGCAAGCCCCACGTGGGCCTGCTGCCCGTCTCGTGCAGATACAAGTCTGTCTACGAATCCTACAAATGGGAATAGTGACCTCGGGTGCCAGGCATCAGTTCACTAAATTTCACAAAGTGGACTCGATAGACATTAGGATCTCAATTTTCCAGATGAGGAAACCGACACAGAAAAGTTCAAAACATCCCTGAAGTCCCGAGGTGAGTGGTGGACCCAGGAAGATTCACACTGAACTTTCATTCAAATTCCAGCCTCTACCACCACCCTTAGATTGCTGCGTCTGCCAGAGAGAAAAGAGACGATGGCCTTGTGACCCAGGATCCCCTCCATTCCCTCTCTCGGCTGTCCCCACACAATGCCCACCGGCTGTGATGCCATCTGGAGGGTGCTGTGTGCTGGGCTGGAGGATGGGGTATTCTATGAGTACCCTGCTCTCCGGGAGGGCACCCAGAAACACACGTGCATGCAGTGTGTTCTGGGAGATCACGTACTCCCTGGTTCTCCACAGAGGGAGCAGACAGGTGACAGAGGAGTGGTGGTCACTGGAATGGGGACTGGGGTAGAGAGGGTACAGACATCGGGGGAGGGTGGGGAGCAGCTTAAAGGTGACTTGAGGATGGGACGGGTGCCATGGTAAGATTTGCCTCAAGGTGTGGTTGCTGTTCCCAGAGGACGGTGGTGACAGAGCTGCACCTGAGGGTCAGGGTGGGCGGCTGCTTCCTTTCTGGTCACACAGCACTCTGGGGGGGGAGTCCTGGTTTTGCCCCTCCTAGCTGCTGTGCCGTCCTGGAAGTGCCCAGCATTGGACATCATGGTTTGGGGACTTCCTCTCCTGCATGGCACTCGGGTGTAGAACACTGTGAGTCCCTGCTGAAACCCAGGGTCGGGGGACAGCATAGGATTGAGGACCCAGGTTGGCTTGATGTGACTTACGGGACTGGTGGTCTCGAGAGGGCCAGAGCTCTGTTGATCAGCGAGACCCAGGGCTATCAGGGCGTGGGGCCTGCGGCCTTCAGCACTGCTTCTGCCTCCCTCGTCTTCCCTCCCTGAGGCTGAGGGAGGTCAAGGGATGCAGGGAGAAGCAGGGCCAGGGATGTGGCCCTGCCACCAAGCCCCAGCCAAGCCAATGTGCCTGGGGTGGCCCTGCCTCACCAGGGTGCCAGGTGTGGGTGGGTGGGAGGTGTTGGCTGCTCTGTGGGGGCAGAGAAGGTGGCTTGAGGATGGGACAGGTGCCATGATAACATCTGCCTCAGGGCCTGGTTTGTGTTCCCAGAGGACTGTGGTGACAGAGCTGCAGCCAGCGTTCCCTGCGCTGGGGTAAAGTTGTGCTCCCAATGCTCAGGAAGGCCTGCTGCAGGTGCGGATTGCTCAGGCCAGGGTGCCTGCTGCCCACCTGGCTCAAGTCATGGCTGCCATGACCCTGAGGTGGAGCAAGAGCCTCTTACACAGATGCAGACACACTCTGGCTTCATACCCGTGTTCTCTTTTTTGCATACAAAGTTATTTCCCATCACTACTCTATAAGGCTCCTGTTTTGTCATCTCTGCCCAACCCACTTGGCTATGGCCAGTAAGGCTCAGCATCACAGGCAGAACCTCTCAGCCTGGGTTGCAGCTAGCACAATCCCTCTCCCCCAAAGCAATCAATCCTCCCTGGATGTGAACTCCAGCTGAGCCCAGGAGGGGCTGCCTGAAGCAGGTGAGGCCTCATTCACATGTGAGCAGTAGAGGAGAGGAAACGGACCTTCTGGGTGTTGAAATGGAGAGTTCCCTCTAAAATCCATGCCCAGTTGCCCCTTCCCCGGGAGAAGAATGGAGAACCCTGTGGAGTTTCTATTTCAAATTTCTCATTTATTTTGACATTCACTTGGTTGTGACTCCAAGTTATCAAAGATGCAAGACAAGAAATCTGTAGGAGTAGTGAAGTGGAGGCCGAGAAAGATGGCGGAGAAGACTGGGCCCGCCTCCTTCTCTTCCTGTTCAGGGTTCAGTTTGAAGAGTGTATAAATAGCGTCCCGTAGTAGACGCCACAGCTAACAGGACAGTGTGGCCGAGTGGGGTGAGCTTCCTCCTCCACAGGGCAGGCCTGTCACCGTCTGGGCCTGGAACATCTCCGAAGCGTCCTGCGTGGAAGGCAGGCTCCCCAGCGCAGCAAGGTCCCGGGGTGGGCTTTTAGGCAATGATTGGGTCCTGGGGGCTCAGGACTCATCCGTGGATTAATGATTTGATAGATTAATAGTTTGAATGGATTTTCTGGGAACTGGTGAGAACTATAGGCAGGTGGAGCGTGGCTGGAAGATGTAGGTCACTGGGAATGTGGCCTCGGGGGCTTCTTCTGTCCCTGGCCCCTTCTCTCTCCCTGGCTCTGCTTCCCTCTGCCACACCCTTCCACCATAAGCAATGGAGCCCACTGACCATGGACTGAGACCTCTGATGGAGCCCAAATAAGCTTTTCCTCCTCTAAGTTCTGATCAAGTATCATTGGTCACAATGACGAAAAGCTGACCAGCACAAGGCCCGGCAGCTACGGCGGGGCAAGCGAGCCTGAGCCTGGTTTGGAGCCTGGGCTCTGAGCAGTGAGGGCTGCGTGGGGAGGGCAGTGGCCTGCCTTCTAACACCCCAGACCTAGATTCTGACTTGGGTTAAGAGCAGTTAGGTTGGGACAGCTGCCGGAGGAGACAATGCTGTGGGATGCTTTGTCCTCAGGGACCCCAACAGATCAGGGGCAAGAAGCGGGTGGTGGTTAGCTGGGTTGTGCTGATTCTTCCAAGGCAGGAGGTGCAACGATGGAGTTGTTATTTTTGGTGAGGAAGGCTGTGGCCCTGGGGTCATCAGCTGTGGAACTGAAGGGGCGCAAGGCACCGGGGCTGGTCCTCAGGAAGCTGGGAGGGCGGCCAGGCCCAGCAGCTCATCACAGGGTTACATTCGCCCAGGAAAGGTATCAACACTGTTCCCTGCACTGGGAGACAAATCTCCTTGACCCACCTAGAGCTGGACATGTCTGTCTGACAGTTAGAATTCAGCCAGCATCCCTGTACACAGGATCAGACAGCTGGGAGCATATCCATCCCCCGTCAGGAGGAGGGCGAGAGGGAATAGCCAGGCTGCACCTGTTTTTAGGAAGTCCTCACTTCATACAGCACTAGGGGGCCCTTAGACTTCACCCTCATCTTCCTGGAGAAAATAGAGTCTCAGAGAAGTGACTGGTCCTAGAGCCAGTGAGTGACCAAAATGGGGCCAGAGCCCAGGTCTTCTGCTTCTCAACCCAGTGTGCTTGGATTCCAGGTTGAGATGTGAGGTGGGCGTCCCCCTTCCCACTCCCTCCACTGTACCTACCCGTGTTGAATACTAGGATTTCAGCAGAGAGGCCAGCCTCATCCCTGTGCCGCCATCTGTAACATTCAGCGACTCAGGAGTGGGCAGGGGTTAGCTATGCCCTTAGAAGCAGGGACAGCCACCTTTTAATGCAGAAGCTACTGGAAATTGCATCAGATATATGACTGAAAAAGCATAAGGCCACTGCAGGGTTGTAAGCAGGACTTGAACTTGGGAGTAGAGTGAAACAGCAATAAATGTCCCACCAGCAGGAGACCGGAGAGTGGGGTGGCCAAGGAGGGCAGCAAGCACAAAAGTCAATTGCCAAGACACACCTGATCCTCAGGAGCCCTCTAGTGCTTGGGAGAGCTGTTGCTCCCTGTGGGACAAAATGATCTGGTGACACGGGTGGATGCCCAAGTGGAGTACCTGGCTTCTGGAGGAGCTTGTGGGGGCAGCTTCAGTCACTGCAGCATTGCCCCACGGACTCCAGGCTCTTCCTGGACCTTCTGTCTGGTTGCCATAGGGACTGGCCCCCAATCACCTCCTGGGGGCTGGGGCTGGGGCTCAGTGGTGGAGCGCTTGCCTGGCACGTGTGAGGCACTGGGTTTGATCCTCAGCCACACATAAAAATAAATAAATAAAATAAAGGTATTGTGTTCATCTAGAACTAAAAAACAATTTTAAAATATCACCTCTGTCCTTGCTGCTTTTCTTGCTCATTGGTGTCCCTGGTCGCTTGTCCTGTGCAGCTATTACTGACTGTGACAAAGCCCTCAGTGCCTGCTGGTGGTGACTGGTGCGTGTGCACCTGGGGAAAGGAACGCACACCTCCCCACAGCACTGTGGCCATGCGTGGCGCTAAGCGAGGTGGACCAGGGCCTGGGAGGACCAGAGAGATCTCAGAGCTAAGCTTCTAGAACTCTAGTAACAACTTGAAAAAGTTTCTCCAGTAGGGGGCAGCTGGTTCCTAAGGCAGAGAAAGGATGCGGTGGGGGAGGGGATTGGACAGGGATATTCAATGCAGACCCTACCTGACCCATGCCACGACCTTTAAGGTCAGCTCGGTGTTCCGTGGGGTGGCAGTGCAGAGGCAGGTGTGGGATGTTCAGTAATCCACAAGCCCAGCAGAGCCGCTCCAGGGACAGTACTAGCCTGGCCCCCAAGGTAGAAAACTGGACTGTGAACGAGCTCCTGGCTGACCCCAGCATGCAGGCCTCACCTTCCCTGCCCTCCCCAACTTCTGGGTGTCCAGTCCTCACTTCTCTCCTTGCCCTCTGTCCCCCTTTCCTCTGGACATGGCCGCTTCATCTCCCACAGGCTCTGGAGGCCCCTAGAGCCGTGTTCCCTGGGGCTCCTTTGCCCAGCCAGCAGAGCCGGGGCTTGGGGGTCCTGGAAGGGGTTGTGGTGATGCAGGGGGTGGTCAGAGGGGAGTCAGACAGAAACTGGGGGAGCGGCAAGGCCAGCCTATCAGATGGGCCCCAACCTGTGAGCCACGGGGCGGGCGGGAGCCAGGCCTGCCCTGGTTCTCAACAGCTCAACCTGGCGAGCCCTCCGCTGTGGAGCAAGAAAGGCCAAAGAAACGAGGAGTCTTCGTGGGGCTGCTGGAGGGCCACTGGCCGCCTCCTCTGCTCCTCCGGGCGGCAGCGTTGGTGTGTGTGCTGGCTGGGGTGGACGGGGTCACACGTCTGTGCTAATAGCCCTTGGATTGGTGAAGGCCTCACGCCCAGAGCCTGGCCAGGTCACCGGGTAACTCTGGGGCGCTGCCAGTTTGAGGGATGGGGGTCCCCCTTCCTTGTAGCAAACTGGAGCAAAGGAGAGCCTCTCGCCTCCACCCCCGTTGGGCACCATGTCAGCTGTCCGTATGTAGAAGGGGGTGTGGTAAGGGGAGCAGGTGGTGCAGTGGCCGGCGGCCACCCCGCACGGCTGGCTGCAGGGCTCGCCGGTGAGAGGTGCCAGGCTGCCTCTGCCGTCCAGAGCTCGGGAGCTGCAGGCATTGCAGGTGGGGCCCCTGGGGTGGGCGGGAAGGCCATGCTCCTCCTCTTCGTCCTCCTCCTGGTCTGCATCTTCAGCTGTGCTCTTCTTGCAGCAGTAATACTGTGGGGAGGGGACAGAGACGGCTGAGAGGTGGTGCACGCCCGCCCCCATGCACACCTTGCCTTTTCTCTCCCTGTTGCTCAGTGTAGTAACTCCAGGCTACGGTTGAGGGGGGCAGAGAGAAGGACACACATGTCATGTGGAAGGCAGGGCTGAGGGCTTTCCAGTAGCAGCTCTCAGAGTATACCCCGAAGGGTGGCTTTCCCACCACTCCCGAAACCTCAGGTGAATGTGATGACCCAGTATGTCCTGGCCACTCCCTGGGTGCCTGAAGGGTGCAGAGGGTGGTGCGTGGCTCCCTTCTGACCACCCACAGCTCCCGGCCTCCTGGACTTAGGTCTCCTACACTCCATGGCTTTGGGCTTTGTTGGGCCCAAAGTGGGCTTCCAGTTTTCTGCCCCCATAATGAAGTGGTTTGCCGGTGGCCGGGCAGCCTCCAGCCGCAGGCCCAGGGGACTGACCTGGAGCCTACAGTAGCACAGGACGGCGATGATGCAGAGGAGGATCACCGTAGCTAGGATTCCGCCAGTGATCACGACCGTTCCCGCGGTCATCCGCCCGATGCCCCATCCAACTCTGCAAAGACGTGTGTAGAGGGTGAGACGCAGGGGACCCGAGGGCACCAGAAGCTGGGAGGGCCTCAGCACCCCGGGGCCTGAAGATTGGCAGGGGCTGGGGCTGGGGCCAGCCTGAGCTGGGGTGAGTGAGAGCTGTTGCTCCCTGTGAGATAAAATGAGCTAGTGGTGCAGGTGGGTGCCTGAGTAGAGGACTGGCCTCTAGAAGAGCTCGTGGGGACAGCTTCCATCACTGTAGCATTACCCCACGGACTCCAGGGAGGAGGCGGGTGCTAATTCTGCTCCCCGTTTCCAATGTCACAGGTTCTTTTTGTTTCCTCCGCAGTCCTCTTGCCCCCATTCCTCTCTCCCTACCTCCTTCTTGACCTCCCTGTCCCCATGGTTCCAAGACACAGAATAATAGAATACTGGCCTCTGTAGGGGGCTGAGGCTCTGGCCACGGGAGGCCTTCATTGCTCACAGGGACAGTTTGGGGTGGTCACTAACTATCCCTGTTCCATACAGGAGGAGCTGAGGCCTGATGGATCGGCTGGGATTCTGCCCAGTCCATTTCCCCCCAAGGCCATGCTGCTCTCCTGGGTACAAACACAGATGGTCCTGGCTCTTCCCTTGCTCAAGCCCACATTCCTTTTGGGGGTATCTCTCCTCGCCTTCAGTTCATGGTAAACAAGGCGAGGTGAGACCAGGGGGAGTGGGTGGGCCACGCCCAGGCTCCTGGAAGGCTGTGTCCAGGCCGGGGAGACTGGTCCTGCCAATGTACAGGAGGGAGGCAAGCTTCAGTGAGGGGCTGTCCAGGCCTCCCAGGGAACTGGCCAGTGGGGACTTGGTGTCTGGAGGATGGAAGAATGACTGTAAGCACTTACGTTCAGTAAAGGGAACCGTGACCTGCAAGACAAAAAAGGGACAGAGATGTTGGGAGAAGAGTGTCACCCGTTGCAGAAGGCCCCGAGGGTGAGCTAGTCCCTCAGCCCCACCTGCTCTCGTTCTCTCATCAGCAAGTCCACAGAGCCCAATGCAGGACTCCAGGTGAGTCTCCAACTGCCACTAGATGTCCGTTTCACTTGGATAGCCCCACTGTCACCTCAAACTCAATTAGGACAGGCTAAAGCCATCACTCTGCTCTCCACACAGGCGCCCCATCTCTGAGTGTCGTCTCGGGGTGTCCCACCAGGGCTTCTCTGAAGGGCGTGGCAGGCTGTTCATTCCTCAAGTGGGGGCCAGACCTCACCAGCACTCTGCTCACCAAGCTGGGCATCCTGTGTGTTCACCAGGAGGAAGAGGCACCTTTTCCTTCATTCCAAGACACCTCCGGCCCTCCACTCTGCTCTGGGGGGCTCCTTCCTCACAGTAGCACTGTTCTCAATTCACTGAGGGGTGCTGAGCAGCCTCACTGCTGCCTGTGGTCTGTGGACCAGGCCTGGGCATCCTGGGGGAGCTGGCTGGACACGTGGTCCCACCAGAGGCCTAAGAGCCGGAGTCTGCCTCTTGACAAGGTCTCAGGGGGTTCAGTTGTACATTAGTGTGATCAGGCCATAGGATGTGCCCCTAGACACTCAGACTTTAAAATCCTTAGGCTCTTCTTTGGCCTTTCCCGGCCTTCTGCTCTCCACTGCACCGAGTTAGGGCCCTGCATCTCAGGCCCGCACTGACGCGACGGCTTTCCTAACAGGTTTTCTTCTTCCCACCAGGCCCCCCTTCCCCTCTGTGGCTCCAGCGCCTTCCCTACATCACGCTGTCTGCAGTATACATTTATCTGGGCACACACTTTCGTGAAGAGCTTCAAGGCCTCTGCCCTCCCCTCCCCCCCATGCGTCATTACCAATTCACCTTTCCCTCCAGTTCCCCGACGTGGCACCTCGGCCCTGTCAGGTAGCCCCGGTTCCTAGGAAGCTTATAGCTTAGTGATGAAGACACTCAGCACATCCTATGACATGGAGTGAGACAGGCAGCCACATCACAGTCCCGGGGCCTGGGGACATCAGAAGGGCAACTGCGTAGTGGGGAGGTGTGCCATAGAAGGTCATGTTTGAATCCCACGAGCTAATGAGTGGGAGACAGGTGGACAGGGAAGAAAGAAGAGTCCAGAGGCGAGAAGCACCTGGACTTTGGGATAGTAGGGTTCCAGAAGTGTAAGTGTGGGCGTGTAGCTGGAGAGACTATAGGCAAGGCACAAAATTGGGACTTACCATTGTGGAGATGAAGGGGGTTCCCTCGGGGCTTTCAGTGGAGAAGCGCATCATCTCCACCTGTTCAAATCCCGCCCATCCTTCAAGGCTGGAGAAGCCTTCCTCATCTTCCCCATCCCTGCTCTCTCAGTTCTGGACTCCACTGCAATGCCTCTTTCCATGTTCCTTCTTCAAATTCTGCCTCAGGGGATGCTAGTGGACTTTTAGCGTGGGGATATCTTGACTCCTCCACTAAACTGCCAGTCCTTTGCACTCAGGGGTTGTGTCTTGGATTGCTTCCTATACCCCTCACCCCCCCAGCATCATGCATCCTGTGCAGAAGAGTGGGAAGATCATTTCACTGTGTAGCACGTCACAGGCCTGGCAGTTATTACTTCAATTTTCCACCAGGGGGCAGAAAATTGCAACTCTCAGCTTAATCCCATCTGCAAACTGTTCAAGATCAATTTGACTTTGCCCAGATGCATAGTGGGCCAGGCTTTGGGGATTCACTGAGGCACCTAGTGGGGGAAAGATGAACCTCTGGCCAGAGAGAATTTATGTGATTTCACTACATCATCACTTTATCCTGCCCTGTTTCCCTGCATGCTCACGCCGAGGGCTGCTGAGGACTTGTGACAGACCAGGATGCAGCAGACCCAGGTCATCATGCCGGGGATTCCTGACCCAGAGAAACTCAGATAATCAGTGTGTGTTGTTTTAAGCTGCTAGGTTTGTTGTAACTAATACACGTCCCTGAAAATCTCACAAAAACCCCACATTGCAGGAGGGGCAGCCTAGGTCACAGGACGGCAAGTGTCTGAGCCAGGATGCCAGGGTCAGGCTGTGGGCTTCCATCAAGCCAGCTGCTTCTTGGGGAGCTTTGTGAGAAGGAGCAGGATCTCTGTGTTTCTGCCCAAGTCCTGGCAGGTCTGGGGCACAATGACTCAGTGGGGACCATGTCCAGGACCAAGACTTTCTGAAGCTCCCTCTCCATCCAGCTTCCTGGGGACACTCAGGTCCCCGACACCTGTCTGTGGGGGTAGAGGGTTGGCTTGTGCCTTCACTTACGTGAAACAGCTGGAGCAGCGGTGGCTCAGTCACACAGGCTGCACCTGTGCAAATAATGGCTGGGGGTTCCTCATGGCCAAGGGCATCAGTCCCTGCCAGAGAAGAAAGAGGAAGGTCAGTGGAGGCTGGACATAGAGGCTGGGGGGACAGACAGGCTGGAGCACTAGGTCATGACCTGACCCTAGGTGGAAGTCTCCCAAGGGCTTTGCTTCTTGTCCCCCGTAGTTGCCTTGGCCTCTGAGAACCTGGGGAGACTTGTAAGGTGGTATCAGGTCCCATCATCATTTCCTTCCCTCTATGCTGCTGTCTGGACCCCTCACACCTTGGCCAGAAGCTGGAGGCCAGAGGATAGACATGGTGCCTCAAGGACTGGCGTGCCTGTGGCCAGCAGGTGCCAGGAGTGGAGCTTTGGGAGCCGCTGCGGAGGCAGCCGGCCACCTGCAGAGCGGCCTCAGTCCTTCCCATCCAGGCCTCCCGGTCCCGCACCCTGGCCTCCTTTCCCTAGGAGGCTCTCACTGCTGGGAACGCAGGTCCCGTGTGCGTGGAGGTTACAGCAGGGCTCTTTCTACCCAGTCGTGAGTGACGTCAGAAGACCCTGAGCACTGGCGGTGTGCAAGCTGCGCAGTGGAATGTAAGAACATCTGTTTCAGGATCCACAAACCCACCTCTGTCCCCCATAAAATGCAGGTGGGTCATTCATCTGGTGAATAACTGGGGAGGAAGACTTTCCAGGCAGAGCTGCTGCTGAGTTGTGAATCCCTCCCTCCAACGAGGGAGGAGGACCAGGGCTGGCCCCGGGGTGACCGACATCCCACCCAGTGGGACCAGTCGTCAGAAATCCCAGCAGAAGAGGCTGAAGGCGGTCCCCATACACCTGGGGCTGAGCAAAAGCTGCCAGGGACCTGCGAATGGAGACGGGGTGTTTGCATGGGTTAAGGGAACTGTAGGAGAGAGGGGCACAACAGGGAATGTCAGGGGGCACCCCACCCCGCCCCATTCACAAGAGCAAGGGCCAGTTTTAAGGTCTTTCCAGCTCTCAGTATCAGAACCCCACGATTTCTATCCTGGCAGGTCGTAAAACTAGTGCAGTTAGGGAGGGAAAGTGGGGGGTGGGGTGGGGGTAGTGTCAGACAGCAGAGGGACCTGTGTCACCTCCTCCCCAGCCACTTCCAGCCTTAAGCAGAGCCAGACCCAAAGAAGGGAGAAGACTGGAGGGTGCTGATTATTAGGACTGGTGTTCTAATCTCCAAGTTGAGACTGCATCTGTAACTTAAAATAGCTAGGAGAGAATCTACCACCCAGGAGTAAGAGAGCAGAGGGGCTGGTCAGGTTTCTCCCACCGAATACATTTTAAAATAAAGGAGTACTTGGGGGAGAAGTTGCTTTTGGGGCACAAACCATGTGTCATACTTGCTTACTTTACTAATGACTTATAGAAAACAATTCATGAAATGTAAGGACTGTAAGAGGTCTGGCCCAATGTCTTTATTTCTACATGAAGAAATCAAGTTCAAAGAGGTCAAGGGACTTGCTTAACCACACACAGCAAGAGAGAGACGGAGCTAGAGAGGTCCGGGGACTAGACTCCTGAACCCAGGGCTGCTGTCGCTCCTTCCAGAAGGTCTACACTTACTTCACCACGTGCCCCTAACGTAGGGTTTCTCAAATGGGCTTGATAGTGACAATCACCTGAGCCACATGTTAAAAACAGACCCCAGCCAGGTGTAGTGGTGCAAGCTGTATTTCCAGTTCTGGAGGCTGAGGCAGGAGAATCGCAAGTTTGAGGCCAGGCTCAGCAACTTCAGCAAGACCCTAAGCAACTTAGTGAAGCCCTATCTTGCCCACAGCAAGACTGGCTTTGAATTCTGTGTCCTTTAGGCAAGTGGGCCAGAGGTCAGGAGGAGGAAGGAAGTCTAAGAAGAGTCAAGGGCACATCCGTCTGGGGATGGCACCCATAACGAGGTTAGGATGGGAGGGCCCCAGAGGCCATTCTGCCAGCAAAGGCTGGGAGGGACATTAAAAGCCACTGTGATAGAATGTCTTCCACTCTGTGTTGGGCAGGGCTCTGCTCTCTCTGAAGGACCCTCAGTGACTCAGCGTCACTGGATTAGAGTCACCTCACCTCCCAGCCTGGGCAGACACTGGCAGGAAATGCAGCAGCCACTGCACAGCACATGTGATGAACAGGCACTGCCCTGCGCCCTGCCGGCCCCGGGAATGTGGGTGACTGAGTGGGCCTCTGCGCCAGCCATCTCAGGGTCTTCTGACCCAATTAGGCCTTCCAACCGCTTATCAACTCAAATTGACACGGCAGGTTAGCGCCCCAGAGAAGAGGAGCTGCGTTGCCCCTTGTTACCCGTCTCCTCGGACCTCGGTCCTCAGGCAAAGCCGTCAGAGGGCAGGAAAGAAAAGGGTCCTTTCCCTTTGATCGTGTTTCTGCCCATTTCTGAGCCCCGACTAGAGAATGAGAGTTGGAAGAGGTGGTGACCGCACAGATCCCTTCGCCCCAGATAGGCAATCACAGCAGCTCCCAGGAGAGCGCTGTGTGAGAAGGAGCCTCTCTAGGAGAGACGGGGAACTCTTGCAAATCACCAAGTAAAAAACCCAAGGACGTGGATGTAATGATGGGCCAGGGGCAGGTGGTTTTCAGAAGGGGTGACCCTAAGGGATAACAGGAGAATTAAGAAGAGGGGGAGCTACATGGCGGCTAGGTAAGATCCCAGGTGACTGTCTCCCCACAGACGCTCCAAGTTGGATGGACAGTCATGCCTTCTAATATGGAAACAGTGACGACACACCAATCGCAGACTCCTACAAACCCCAACCTGGACACTATCCAGTGCTGAAGCAGTGGAAGTGACCAGTGCTAGAAAGCTCAGAGAGAATAAGCAGCCCGGGGAGAAGGCCTGGGAAGACAGGTACCCCCAAAGCTGGAAGAGGGAGACTGGAACACACCCTAATCCTTCAATGCACACCAGTAAGCATCTGGAGCTTTCAGGAAACCAGGATCCAAACTAATATTCAAAATATAGTGCCCAGAGGCATGGTGGTGCATGCCTGTAACCCCAGTGACTTGGAAGGCTGAGGCAGGAGGATCATGAGTTCAAAGCCAGCCTCAGCAACTTAGCAAGACCTTGTTTCTAAATAAAATATAAAAAACAGGGCTGGGGATGTGGCTCAGTGGTCAAGAGCCCCTGGGTTCATTCAATCCCTAGTACCAAAAAAAAAAAAAAAAAAAGATAGTACCCAGAAACTGATCAACTAATAACCAGTTTGGGAGAACTCAGAGAATTTAAAACAGTTTTATTGTGTGTGTGGGGGGGTGGTTCCTGAGGATTGAACTCAGAGGAACTCGACCACTTGTGGCTGCCTATGGAAAGAGGGGAATGAATGTAGAGGTGAGAATAAAAGAGAAAAAGAAAATAAGAGAGGGGCTTTTCATGGACCAGTGATGAAAGATGTGCTCTGATCTGAGGAGTGTAATTACTTCGTCTTTTTTCTGCATCTCAGATCCAACTCAAACCAAACGAGAATAAGGAGGCCCTCACCTCCCCCCGGGAGCCCTCCAGGATGGATTCAACATTGCATGTCCTTCTTTGGCCTTCCTCAGGACTGCTGCCCTGAGGTGCCTGTGTGGATTAATACACTGGTGTCCTGTGGGTACACTTCCTCCTTCAACTAGCTTACAGGCCATTTGCAGGCTGAGATCTTGTGCCTTTACTAAGGTCCACTCCGGCTCTCTGGTGTTTTGCACATTTTGGATGCAGGAATGACTGGGTCTACTAGGAAAGCTGTTTTCCATGCAGAGTGCTGTTCCCAGAGAGCCCTCTAGTCTGCCCTGCTTAGCTGTGTGTAGCGGAAAGAGCACTGGGCTGCGAGGCCCATAATTTGGGTTGATTCTACCTTCCATGCCCATTAGCTGCATAACTTTGAACAACTAATGATCTCTTTCTTTGCAAAATGGAGATAAATAAGAAACCTTTTTATGGGATGAGGGTTACATGGGGAATGTGGGGAGGGTGTTAGTTAAAAGTTATGCCACTTTCTAGGAGGGGTGATCTTGCCCCAGGAGCCTCAGAGGTCCTGATGTCCTCTGTGCTTAGAGGCAGAGATGATTATGAAAACAGTGGCCCTTGAGACAGATTTTGGGCTTCTTCTGAGCAAATCCTACCTAGATCCTGCAGAACAGGTGACCCCAGATCTTAGCTGAGTTGTACCTGAGCTGATGCAGGTGAAAACTGTCATCCTCTTTCATTCTGTCCTTGACCCACTGCTCAGGTCAGAGTGCGTCCTAGGGATGGCATCATGACTTTGACTAACACTCTAGCTGGGACCTCTGAGCCTCGGCACACTCGGAACATACACTGCTGTTCCCTGTCACGAGCTGCCCATGGGCTGTATGTGGATTGTTGCGCATCGCAGCCAAGTGAGGGGCTAGGTCTGGCACCGGAATTCCCTGTCAGGGACTGATGGCCTGATGCAGGTGAGCCTCCCCCTAGGGCTCTGCCTAGGATCCCGCACAGCACCTGAGAGGGGTGTGACCTGCCAAGATGTCAGTCACTCTGCTGACCACAAGACACCATGAAGAAGGAGTCTGCCCCTGAAACCTCATCCCTGCCTTTGATGTCCCTGTTATAAAATAAACCAAACACGGGCTCAGACCCTCTTTCCAGCGTGCAAGCTTGACCCTTAAGGTCAAAGAGCCGTCTTGCCCTCAGTTCCCAAATTCTTTCTGTGTTGTGTGATTTTTTCATCGTATCTCCCAGCCAGCACATTTCATGCCAGGAAACCCAAATCCATAGCTCATGCGGGACACGGGTGAGTGGTGTAAGATGGCAGTTCTCTTTATTTACTCCTTGTTTACTAGTTACTGAGCGTGAAAGAAAGTGGCAGAGCTCTTGGGGACAGTCGCTGCTGGCATCCTTGATGCCTCTGCAGGGCCAGGCTGAACCCACGTCTTCCCTGACTGCGGTGACAAAGCTCAGGCTGCTCTGCACGTCCCCTCAGTGGAGGCTGCACTGGCCACAGAAGAAGAGTGGACACAGGTGCGCGGGAGCCCTGTGCTGGCGGAGCCTGAGAACCAGCTCGGGTTG